TTAGGTTGTTTCGTAAAAGGTTTCAACTTCGTCTGGTGTGAAGCTGTATGTTCCTGCCAGGAATGTTCGTGCGAAGGTGCTGCCGTAGCTGTATCCGCTCGGTGGGCTGTAAGTTTGGCCAAGTTCGCTGTAAGAATTGCTATTAGATGACGCGTAGTTATAGATGTTAATGTCATGTCCTCCTCCGAATGTAGGCCCAAAGGATGAGTAAAAGTATATGGAATGTTTGTAAGAACTAAATTGCCCTGACTGAGACAATTTGACAGGCGCCCATCCTGGCTTGTTTACCAGCGAAAATAAGAAGGCTTTTGAGTCGTATTGATACCCGCCAGAACCAGAAGCTAAAAGAAATGAAAAAAAAAACTTTTCTAAGATAAGTTAGCGACATTGTCCTTGTGCCTGTCATAATGATAACGACGATGATGATTATTATTACATTAATTAAAAACAGTAAATACCTTATGCTCATAAAACAAATTCGATAGAGTTTCTCAGTAACGTTCGTCATTTATCAAAAACGAAATCAGTTTCTATGTCTTCTTTATTATTATCATTATCATTATCAATATTATTGTTATCATTACTATATTATTATTATTATTATTATTATTATTATTATTATCATCATTATCATCATTATTATTAGTATGAATATTATTTTATCGCATTATTATTTACGTATAGGTATTTTGGTAAAAGATACAGCTATACTCATGGCAAGCGTGGTTCGTCCGCTCAGGAGAAAGTTTGATGTGGCTGCAAGCTCACCGAGGCTAAGGTGCCGGCCTGTGGGAGATGTTATTTTTAAAAGATTTGCAATTACAAGCAATAGATCGGGGAAAAAATTAGCAATTAATAAGATATGTTCTTTTATAAATTTATGGAGCAAATCTCCAAATTTATCTGTTTTTGTCTTTTTTGCCACTTGCCGAAGCTAGAAGCTTCTTTTTAACATGAACTGGTGCATGTCGCAATACACTTTTATTGGCAAATTAATACTTAGTTCGATTTTGAGGGTACTGTATTAAGAAGACAATAAAGGAAACAGACAATAAAGAGTTTTAGGAGCCTTTATCCTTGAAAAGGTATAAAACATTATGTATTTCTGTCACCCATTTCAGTCTAATAAATTCGTTCGAATCCGAAGAGAAGAATCCTCTTCGCGACATTTCGCTCAGGCAAAATTACGAAAGTTTGATCGGTGAAATGAACCTTCGTCTTGGTGTATCACGTACGTGGACATGTCAAAGGAGCGTGTTTTCTTAATCCTTTGCCAAAATTTGCGAATTTCCCCAAAAACCTGTGGTGAAGTTCGTTAGTCGCTACTTTTGCAATATGGGAACTGAGGGATGGAAGATAGCAGGGTGGCAAAAAAGTCAGAACAATACTGATATTTTATAACCTCAAAATTATTATTACAATAGTATTAGCCTGGAATTTGGGCACGTTTTGACAGGCTAGAAATACATCACTTATCATCTCCAGAACCAGAACTTGAGAAGTGGGGTGGGGGGTGGCACTCATTCACACCATGTGAGTGTAGGAGGGGTGGTCCTCGCCCCTTGAGGAACGAGGGGATATGGGTTCACATCTAGAGCTATTAACCTAGAACCTTTGTAAGCCAATGCTTAACCATGTATGAAAGGTAGAGTAACATGATTCCACACTGTTAAGTACCAAGCTTCACTTTTAGCTGATCATATGAATGTCAATTACGCCAAAGGTATAGATGGCACTTTCATGGATTACAATGCTCACTTACCCCATGAAATACTAGTGTATCCACCGAAAATATATCCCCCGACCCTTATTATTGTCACAGTCGGGCCCTTGCTGTCACAAAGTGAGTGAAATGTACTTGCAGCCCAGCCATCCACGGATGCACGCCAGCAGCGCTTCCAGAGAGAATTGACGCTTTTTGTGACAGGTGCAAGCCAGTTGCTTAACGAGGTTAAGTGATTTTTGTTGTTTCCCACAATAACAGAGTCGTGCAAACCTGGGGAAAAAAATTCGACTTTTGCTATTTGACAAAAGAACTCTGTTGGAGCCAAGTAGAACTGTTTAAAAATTCGACATAAAATAAATTCTTTATCAAGTGTAACATTGCGAGTGACTAGAGGTTGGATAGCAAAAGTCACTTTATTTTCTGGAGAGCAAAGTTTTAGGATTTATACTTAAACCCAAGTATAGCCTTCCCTCCTTCTCTCCCTTTATACCATTGCTACCCAAGCATATTCACCCTTTAACAACGACACTGCTTTTTAACAATAAATAAAAGGTCATCGCTAACGGCGGTCCTATATGTTTTACATTCCACTTAAGTATACACAGTAGTCTGAGTCAGCTAAGCCTATTAAAGTAGTCTTAAACAAGATTCAGGAACCCTTGGTCTTGCGATCTCTGTGACCTGTAACAAAGGTCACCAGGCGCCATTTGGGGCAAAACGTGGATAGCGCTATCCAGCGGATAAATCTCTATCCAGTGGATAGCGCAATTGGTTTCCCAAATACTTATCCACTGGATAGTGATTTATCCGATGGATAGCGCTATCCAGCTTTTGAACAACTGGGGCCTGATGTTTATGTTACTAAATGTTTAATTTATGTCTGTGCGGACCTTGCAGCCTAAGACAAACCTGCAGCTGAGCTACGCTGCACTGCCACGTTGACCCTAGTTTTCTTTGTTCCCATGATGTTAGTTGCTACACAGTCGTATAAACCGGTGTCGGCAGGAATCAAGTTGTTAATGGTAAGTAAGCCTTGGTTTATTTTCGTTTTTCCAGCAGGTAAAGGCATTGCTGCTCTAGTCCAGGTTACAACGGGACGAGGATAGCCTTCAGCTTTACAGGTTACTTGGAATGTAGTGCCTTGTACCGGTGCAGCAAGTAAAGGTGGAACTTTTGTGAATATTGGAAGACCTGAAAAAATAATTAATATCAGGTTGAAATACTACAACTAATTGGACGACACCGGGGAGGAGAAGGGGGGGTACTCTTCAAAGTGTTATACTGAGAGGCTCCGCCCCGAGGTCCAACACTATATGTAATTTTCAACAGAAAAGTTTGCCCCTTTCAAATACGAGATTGGGAGATCAACGCACTGTCTTTAAAATGTGAATAAATCACAAAGGCAGCAAATTTTCTCGACTTTTTCACAGCCATAACATCCTTGCGCTAGTCCTTTTAGATCTTTTTTAAGACCGAAATGACAGATTTCCCAACACTATTATACTTCAACTAGTAAAGCACGGACCCTTTCATATACCTGAAGCCTCAAAATGGTACCCCTTTAGCAAGGAGTCGGCTCCCTGCACAGGACATTCTAAGAAATAACCTTCGGGGAACGGCAGGATTACAACTGAGAAAAATGAAAAAATTAGATGCTTTCTTTTCCGGGAAACTTTGTACAAGAAATGTTTGTTTGCATAACAGAAAAGAAATGGAGCGATGAAACCAATTAGTTATTGGCTGGCAAATCTGTTAACGGGTATTTTCAAGAAGTCGTAGTCTGACGGCTGCTAAAGCCTTAACCGAATTCTGAAAGCGTGTCAAAATAAAGGTCAGGTGAGGATGATGTTCTGTCAGTGTGCCTTCTCATCGTATAGTTTTCTTGACATGTTTATGCGCCGTTCAACAACAAACCTCAAGAATGAAATGCTTCTCTCACCTCGAACAGACAAGTTACCAGTGGCCTCGGACGATCCAAGAATGTTCCTAGCAGCACATGTGTACGGCCCAGCATCGCTGTAATTCAGATTTCTAACGATCAACTCTCCTTCTTTAATCAAATACTTTGCACCGGACAGAATCTTTATGCCCTTAAATTGCCATTCCACGACTGGGGAAGGATTTCCGGCGACCGTGCAATAAAATGCCGTATTTCCTCCCTCATCTCGTGTCTGCTCTGCTGGCGTCAGCAACACTTGTGGTGCAGAGATCGATTTTCCAGGCCTTCCAGGTGGTCCCGGCATGCCTTTTGGCCCAGGTTCTCCTTTATCTCCCTTTTCTCCTCTCGGTCCTGCAGGACCAGTTATTCCTGTTTTTCCGGATTTTCCAGGAGGTCCCGTGGGACCTTGAGGACCTTTCTTTCCTTTTGGTCCCCTCCTGCCACGTGGTCCCCTCGGTCCAATGGGACCAGGATATCCGGGGGGACCTGCAGGACAGACTTTCTCAGTTGACTTACAGTACTTGGTGGGCATAAGTTGTTCAAACTGTTTGCTGATTTCTTTTCTTACTTCATGTATAGTGATGCCGGTTGAAGTGTCGTTCAAAACGTTTCTTCGCTTCCTTAAGCGGATGGTTGCTGATGCCTCTAATGATAACGGGTTGACTGCAGTAAAGTAATATCCGATGATTATATTAAAAATAAATAACGATGACGAACAAATCAAAGGAAGGAATGATAAGGTTGATATTTCTATCATAAAATTAACACCTTTTTGGAAGTTGCGTTCAACAACAAGGTTAACAACTTTTCAATTTGTCCTCACGCCTCTTCCCTTGTTGCTTCTAAGGGAAAGCCAAGCTGACATTCTAGATTTCTAGATCTACGCACACATTTCAATCCCGGGGGGAAGGGTACTTGGGTAAATTTTTGCTGGGTATGTGACGCTGGCGTCTAAGAGCCCCTACCCCATTATAGTCTATTCTGTGACCAATTATAGACCCTATCTTGGTCACTTTTGGGCAAATATGTAATTTTGGCGATCCCAGCTTAGTCACTTTTTATTTTTAATGAATTGACCCATTTTTTAAACTGTATGAAGAACACTTTACTTTTCACCTACAGTACAAACATTCTGGTACGGTTGCTAACAGTAAATAAGAAGAACTGTCTTACCACAAAAAATTGGAAAGAGTGCGACCCCATTCTTGTAACTCTATTGAAAATGCAACCCCATTGTAGTCAATAAGTGCCCCCCCCCCCCCCCCCCCCGGGTTTCAAACCGACTGAGACCGTTCGATAAACGTACTTTCAATCTTGCCACCTTATCAAAGTTACCAAAGGTTTTATCAAGTAACCCGGCAAGCCCTAAGACTCCTTAACTGAACTCCTCTAGGGGCTAACATTTCAAAAATATCTCAAATTTTACGCCACCCTAACAATTTTATTCAGACAGTGCTATTTCAGACCAATTTTCCCCACCCGTTCTCAGACCATGCAGACCTCAGTGTATACCTGTTTTCAGACTTGGCCTTTAGAAAGAAACTGTGTTATCATTACTTAGATTAGAGCGCAAACAAAAAAATTCTTCAAATGCATTTCGAATTCACATATTTCTATTTCGTTCTGATTCATGTGCAACTGAAACGATAACTACATTCATGCATACGCTCCAGTAGGTTCCTCGAAAACCAAACCTAATTCCAGACCAAAATGGTCTACGTTTATAACCGTTTTCAGACCAAAAAGAGCCAAGAACTATACACCCTTTGTGTGCTCCTGTTATATGGCTTATATAAAGGAGTACTACCCCCCCCCCCCCGCCCACTGGGTATTGACCACATATCTTGTACGTGAGCAAGTCGATCGACACTACTCAACATCGATCATTTACACCGTTTATACCACTACATGAGAAATTTCTGCAATTTGATTGGCCTAGAGCAGTTGTATTTCAGCTTAATTTGAAATACCCTACATGTGAAAATTACAAACCTTTTGCGGGCAGTGGTATAAACAATTAATAGCACGATTTGTACGTGATATTTGGCATAAATACCACTCGTGATATTTCAAAATTGTCTCAAATTTCAAATTACGTATAACAATTTCGAAATATCACTCGTGGTATTTATGCCAAATGTCACTACAAACCATGCTATTACCTATACAAATTGTTTTATTGTTTTACCAGTATAGCTAGGTGGCTTAGTGAATTTTTAACCTCATCTAACACTGTATAAACCCTTTTGCAACACTCTCGCTCTGTTGTAATACTGCTTAGATGATCCCGTATGTGAGCGCAAACTCACACCATGAAAGATTATATGCCTAAATCAAAAGAGGATAAACTCACTTCTAAACAAGTATCTGCATCTAAATAACATCTGAAGTGAAGATCTTACCTGATGTATAACCGATCCTTTCGGATACATGTGTCTGAACCTTCTTATAAAGATCTCTTGCTGTACCTTTTGTTGGTGAAAGAGATATCCTGTCAGTATTTTCAGTCGAGTCACTCTGAACGCAAGGGAAAAGGTTAACGCGAGATTCCAGCGCGATCAGTCGTTCGTTTGTTGTTTCATTCTTCACCCAGAGACATCCGCAAACGAAAACTAATAAAACAGAAAGAAACGATGGCCTTATTGACGGAAGAAAATCAAGGAGACGACGAGATTCTGCCGGGGAGTTCGAGGATTTCATTTCTGCAGCTTGCCAATCGTCCCATGCACGGAAGGTGGAGGTGAGTGGGAAACGTGCCAGTAAATTTGATCCTTAAAAATTTCGCCCGAAGAAGCATGCCATTAAGGTTGGCGTAAAAAAAAAACACACACACACAAAACAAAACAAGTCTTAATAGGGACGGCAAGGGGCCACGTGCGGACCATGGAAACCTTAATGGGGGAGGTGGGAGGGAAAACTAATTGAATAAAATTAGTGCACTCCAAGTAACGTCAAAAAATATTCATGCTTTGGCCTAAGATAATTAATACAAAGAAAATGCTAACGAAAAAAATTCATGCGACGTTCCTATTGGTCTGTCTCTAATTAACTTTCTTCCTCACGCCTCGTAACAATATCATCTTCATTAGAGTGATTTCTCTTGCATATTGCGTGAACTGGACCATGGGAGATTATGTTCGCTGGCAAACATACTTTATTGAATAGTGGAAACATTCCCTTGCAAACTGGGATTACCTAATTATTTAGCGGCAATATATGCACTTCATACGTTACAATCTTGGACAAAAAGTGTTGAGATTTTGCACTTTCTTACCCACAGAACGCCTATCCCGCGGATTTGGTACCACTATGGCCCCTCCCCTCGCCCCACACTGGTCAAATTTGTTTATTCGGGATCAGAAATGATCCAGCCGGGCTTCAACATATTTTTTTTTGGGGGGGAGGGAAGATTGAGTATCTGTAGTTGCCAGCGCTTTCAAGCTTTCTCTTGAAATTAGACGCAGTATCGTCCATTTTCTCAACATTTTTTTCAAGATTGTAGATGTGTTAATACTGAGCCAGTTATACAACTATTTTGATTAAGATTCTAGTTGAACGTCACTATGTTTATCTTGTATAGTTAAGGTTAATGGCGACAGACTTAGCCACCCCTCTCTAAGTGCCACACAACGCATATACGGGTTAAGTAACTCGTTGTCCATTTTTGTTGTATTTACAATGACAGCCGCTTGACACGGTCTTTTACTAGCGCATGTTGTTTGTTGGCAGTGTCTTAGACATAAGTCAGTCTTTTTTGTATTGTTTATACATACGTGCGACTTAGAGTTCCCCAAGTAGCGCACCCGGGGGGGTAACTCAGAATAGGAGGTTCCATTCACAGATCACCCATGTTTGTATGGGTGATCTGTGAATGGAACCTCCTATTCTGGAGACTAGACCTTGCCTATTTTAGAGAAAAAAAAAGATTTAAGTTTTGATGACCTTACCGGTCCCGTGAAATAGATGGCGATGCCGAAACACGGCCCGCAAAACAAATTAACAAAATTATATAATCACGGACACAAAATATCAAAACGGTTTACACAAGCAGATTATAGCAACACCAAAGCTCACACTCATTCGATCAAATTAGCCATATATAGCGATATTTGCTAGCTTCTTAGCTTTTCCTCGACCTCTCTCATCCAAATAACTGTTGGCGTGTCCCTTGCTAATTTGCACAAGCGACCCGAGGCTCTTGCCTGTTACTATTTGACGTCATACTGTCAGGCGGAGTGGGTCAAGAAACTTAGGTGGAAAACAATAGAGTTACCTTCACCCCTCCCCCCCGCCCCCTGCCTCCCTACCTTACCCCTTTGTTCATCTTTAACTTTAGTTAATAGTCAATAAGCGCCACATAGCATATTAAATTCCTTGGAGAGGGAGGGACGGGGGGTTATACAACAGCAGGAGGCACAACGAAGATCTCAGAAAGAGTTATTCCATTACTGAGCCGCGCAAAGCATTATATGTATTAAACCTTCCCTTGCTATGAAACTAAGGTAGCGTAGTTTTTTCAATCAAAACTTTCTCTCATCGCGGCGAAAGACAAAAGTAAACAGTTTCATTCACATATAAAATTATGAAGTACTTTTAACAATGCAAAAAGAACGGCAATATTTTGTAGATAATTTTTAAGGGGGTTGTTAAATTGCATCGTAACAGTGCCCCTTCTTAACTACCGGTAACTCAACTTACAGATTTGACAATCATCGCCAAAATATCTCGGAAGACAGGTGCACTTAAACTTTCCAGCTCTAAATGAAATAGGAGAACACTGCTGCCCATGATTCAAGAACAAGGTGCAAAAATACAAGGATTCTGTGGGAAAAAATATGTTACGATAATTATGCAAGTTAAATCGAATTCAAAATCTCTCAGTGTTGATTAGTGAAGTTAGGACATTATTTTAAACTGCATATTAAAAATGTGTTTTGTCAAATTCCGCCAAATTTCCTTGCCTTACGTACGAAAGGGAGCGCGAGGACGGCTCCCCTTATTTCCCTCCTTCCCACCCCCTCGAAACACCTGCCACGCAGGCTAAGAAAAGCTGAAAACCGTCAAACAAACAAACAAGAAAACAGAAACTAAAAATAAAGTGATCAGGTGGCATTAACTTCATGAATAAACCCTGAGTGTGTTTTTTTAATGTTTTTTTTTGTTTGTTTGTTTTGTTTCAAACTTTAAACTGAGTTAAATAAATTAAGCTCAATTACGTTTGCTCAATACTAACCTGTACGCTGTAATGGGAAAAATGGATATTTGAAACGAGTTCTCCTGTTTTGTTGTAGGAGTTCGCACAAAATTTTTCTGCAGACGTCTCTGCCAAGTTAAAGGAGATACATAGTTTGTTTTGAACACAAGCCAAGCTGTAGTCGATCAGCAAAGAGAGTTTCCAGTGGTATTACGTTGAGGTAGAGCCGTGAGAATCATACGAAACAACTCCTAGCTTAAAGAACCTCTCGCCCAGCCTTTGTGCGTTTAAAACGTAAGGGCACGACACGAAAAGAAATGCTGACAAGAGGTCGGCCATGTCGTTTCTTTTGTGTGCACTCACGATGTTGGTTTTTACTCCAATGAAAAGCTTCTTATGTTGTTGTGGAGCCAGCAATTCACTAATGACGATACCACAAAGTACCTGTAAAGCGTTAAGACAGTTAAGGGAGCATTCATAATTTATCT